AAGTACATCCTCAGTCAGAAAGAGCTTAACTTAAGATAGCGCTAGTGGTTGGAATTGTTCAAGGATTACGATTATGAAATTGAGTATTACCCCGACAAAGCTAATGTGGTTTGGATGCATTGAGTCGTAATGCTATCACGGATTTGATGGTTTTATTTGCTTGGATGAGTTTGTTTAAGGATGATAGTCTCTTAGTAGAGCTACATGTAGTTCATACTCTTCTTTCTGAGATCCGTGTGAAACATCATAACAATCCATTTTCGATTCATCAGATTAGAGAGGTTGAGAGTTGTGTATTTCAAGATTTTACAGTTGATCAAGATGGTGTTCTGTGTTTCATATGTCGGTATTGTATTCTGAAAAATTCTATATTGAAACAAGTTATTCTTCGTGAGGCTTATGATAGTTCGTACTCTATGCATTCTGGAAGGGAAAAGATGTATAGGAATCTCCAAGAGAGGTATTGATGGAAATAACTTAAACGAGATATCGTCTGTTATGTGTCTCGGTGTTTGACTTGTTAGAAAGTGAAGGCGGAGCATCAACGTCCATCAGGGTTGTGGGTTGCAATAGCATATTAAGATTTCGTAATGGAAATGGGAGCGTGTGATTATGGAATTTGTTTCGATTCTACCTTTAACTCCATCGATAAAGGACTCTATATGGGTTATCGTTGATCTTCTTACCAAATTCACTCATTTTATTCTGGTTTGGGTCGACTATTCTTTGAATAAGCTGACACGATTTTACATTGTTGGGATTGTCCGTTTACACAGGGTACCTTTATCCATCATCTTATATTGTGATTCGAGATTTACCTCGAAGTTTTAAAGGTCTCTACATAATGTCCTTGTTACTCAGTTGAATTTCAGTACTTATCATCTGAAAATCGATGGTCAGTTGGAACGAGTAATTCAGATTTTAGATGACATGTTGAGAGGTTGTGTTGTCGATTATAGTTGCAGTTAGGAGGAGTTTTTATCGTTGGCCAAGTTTACCTACAATAAAAACTTTCAAGTCGGTATTAATATGGCTCCGTATGAGGCTCTATATGGACGTAAGTATCTAACTTCGATTGGTTGGACTGAGTTGTTGAGCATATATTACTGGGTTCATATTTAGTTTATGAGACAGAGCAAACTGTCAGGATGATTCGAGATAGACTAAATATTGCCTTTGATAGATAGAAATCCTATGTTGATCTGAAACGTCAAGACATTGAGTATGCAGTGGGTGATAAGGTTTTCCTGAAAGTATCTTTGTGGAGAAAGGTACAACGTTTTGGTCGGAAGGGTAAACTAAGTCATCATTTCATTGGGCCTTATCGGATTGTTCGTCATGTAGTATCGGTTGCTTATAAGCTTGAGTTACTACATAATCTTCCTCACATTCATGATGTTTTCCATGTTTATATGTCGAGACGTTACCGAGCTGACCCGTCACATGTATTAGATGTGGATAAGGTAAAGATCCGACCCGACTTGAGATTCATAGAGGAATCGATTGAAATACTTGAGAGGGATGACAAAGTTCTTCGGAGAATGACCGTTAAAATGGTCAAAGTCTTGTGGCGTAACCGGGGTTATGATGAGTCCACGTGGGAGATCGAAGAGGCCATGAAAGCTCAATATCCATAACTTTTTCCTCCAGGTAAATTTTGAGGCCAAAATTTTCTTTAGGGGGAATTGTAACACACCAAAAAATACCCAATTTAAAACCCTAGAAATTGGGAAATTTTAACCTAAATTCCTAAAATGAAATCAGTGACAAAATTGTAAATTTAGAAAACTTGTAGTTATTTTTCAAAACCCTGGTTAATTAGGTGTTTGCCTTGTAATTAGACCATTTTGCTTTAGACCAAACTTCCCTTGATTATATCACTGTGCGACACCCCGTTTTTATTTTTAAAACCCTAGTAGCAACCCATTTTCCCCTCATTGTTCTACCGTCATTCATTGGGTTTTATCGCCGTTCTGGTCATTCGTTCGTTAGGGTAAGGTCGACGATCAACGTCGAGTGCCCTATACGGATGGTAAACGAGTAGAATTTCTTGAATTTCGCGTCGTATATGCTCCAATTAGGGTGGGGATGGGTATAACTTTAGTGGGTAGTGGGAGGGTGTGGATTTAGAAAGTGGTACCCATCGTAGATAGTGGGCGGGTGATGGGTTTGAGACCTTACCCGCCTCGCATCCGCCCGCCCACTAAATACCTATTAAATTTTACTTAATTATCTTATTAAAGTTTAGTTACTAACTTATATTAGTTTTGTATTATATTATATATGTAGGTAGTAATGAATTTAAATTGGAGCGCTCTCAATTGGAGGAAATAGAGAATGATGATTCTAGTACTGGAGTAACAGATGTAACAAGTATTGTCTGAAATTTGAGAATGTTGTGCCAAAAAACAAAAATATTATGTGTTTGTCATTTATGTTCCTAAGCTTTAATTATGTCTTTTATTATGGTGTTTTATGTACTTTAAGTTCTATGTTAACACTTAACTCATATAATCCTTCGTTTAGTTTATTATGCTTCTTAATGGACTTGTTTGTTTTATGTTTGTTGCTTATGTATAACTTAAGGTTGTTGTCATGTGGGTCTAGTCGCGTACATATTCGGTTCGGTAATGGATGTGGGGATGGATTTGAGAATGTACTTACGTGGGCGGGTGTGGATTTGAAAATTTTTACCCATCATAGGTGGTGGGCGGGTGGTGGATTTGAAAATATTAGGTAGGTATGGGGATAGGGGAGGGGGTATCCGCACCCGACCCGCCCGTTTGCCATCCCTAGTGCCCTACCTCAAACCCCATGCGAAGCCGTCATCGATGGTGTGGGTTTCATGAAAACTCGTGAACCTTGATTGTTCTCACCTCCGTGGGGGCTTCGCATCGACCGTATAGGGTCGGGGTAGTGTTGAGTTATTACCAGGGAAGGTTCAGTCGGTCTGAGTCACAACCAAACAGTATCGTTGTCCTTGGAAAGCACCCCTGATCGCTCTGCTTAAGTGTTGTCACCGTTGTCGTATGGTGGCCAATAGTTTGGGCTTATGGTAAGGTCGATCGTAACTTCCCAACTCGTGAAGGCTATTATCGATGCACCCTCATTGCTGACAGTCCCCTCTAATATACCGACAAAACCTTTATTCAAACCAAATGCTCATTGTTGGTCCCCATTTCGAATAGAAAAATCATTTTTTTCGTTGTAAAATTTAATCTGAAATATTTGGGTTAATTGATATTGATTCGAGCAATAAATTTTTGCAAGACATCCTAAACTGGAAATCGAGTTACCGCCTCCTCCTTCGTTACCCCTAAACTTTGAACCGAACCGTGTAGCTCGTGTCGACTGTGAGTGTTAACTGACAAATTTTAGTATGTTATTTACATAGTTAATTTTAGAATAATTTATTTAATTAAGTTACTTGGCATATGCATTGATTCAGATCAACCTACTGCTCGAGCTGACCGTGATAGAGGTTATTATCGTCACTAGCTATCTATCGAGGTGTGTCTCTATCGGTGCTACATATGTTTGATTTATTTGCCTATTTACTTTGTTGCTTGGTATATGACTTGAAAGCATGCTTGAGTGTGAAGTTAGTTATGTTTATTATGATTCGAAAATATTATGTGATGCATGATGAATTGTCGAAATTAGAATTATGTGATGTTCGTACAAAATATGTGATTGCATGAAAATATCGTGAATCATATTATATGATTTGGAATAAATATATTCTTCGGAATTAATATATGCCTCAGAAATATTGTTATTCGGATCGGATTAGACATCGGATACTAAGTCATTTTTCATATCATGCTGGAATGAATTCTGATAGGGCAAGTTCAGTGCATTCAATCAACGGGGTGGATGCCACTCTTTTCGGATTCAGTGGCCTCTGCCTATGTGGCAGACTCCACTTTTATGGTGTGTAGGTTGGAATTAGTGTGGTTTTGGGAAACCCACTATTCGGGGTGTAATAGGAGTATGTACGGGTGCATGTGCATTTTCATATCATTTACATTGTATATACCATTGATGATTAGACATATAAATATTATTGTTTGTTTTGGATTATGTTGTGACTTGTGTTTGTTTACACTTTAGAGATATACTAAGCCTTGTAGCTTACACCCCCTTAGTTTTCTTCTTTCAGATTCTCGAGCTAGGTAAATTGGTGCTTGGAGTTGCGTCTTTATTAAGATTTTATTATTTCCATAGTATGACATTTATTCGGATTTTCTATTTCTTATTATTTTACTTGAATATTATTTAATTATTTAATATGTTTAAATATTTTGAGACATTGAACATAAACTCTATTTTGGATTTTGGACTATGGACTTGAACTTTGGATTTGGTATACATTTTATTTAAAGTATAATTATTATTTGATTATTTAAACTATTTGCAATAAATAAATGTGAGGGTTAATTTTAAAGTATTTTAAAATAATGTTTGGGTAAATTTTGGGAAATCTAGTTAATGGGCCTTCTGGATCTGACCTATTTCGTCTAGGTCGAGTAAAGGGGGTTACATTCATATTTTATGGGATTGCTGTTATACTCAAGAAACTTTTATTTGTGCGGGTATGCACGGTACATTCTTATCTAGTCAGCTTATTACTCTATTGGATTAGTTAGACTTGATGATTACTAATTTGGATCTAGTTGGCCTTGTTTGCTTTCTTGTATTGCTTTGGAACCTCTTGAATTCGAGGAATTCCAAGATGCATGATAACAAGATTAGCCCCCATGGATACCGGCCACCAATGATGTTTCTCTTAAGCATGACTACCTATTGGCTAGGGAGCAGGCACCGGGGAGAGCAAGAACTTTGCGATCTTCTCCCAGAGTAGTTTCGTGTATTAATCATGCGAAGTTGCAACCTCCCCCTCTAGGTTATGTGAAGATCAAACTTGATGGTGCTTTTGCGATCAGTCAAAAAGATGAAAAAACTTAAATCTTAAAACCCCCAATGGTCAAGAGTACAAAGAAAACATAAGAAAAATGGACTAACACTTGAACCCCAGAAGAGACCTTTCCAAGAGGGCGAACCCAATTTATTACAGCAACAAATTAGACAACTAAAAACAATTAGCAAAACAGAAAATTCTTTAAAGACTGCTGAAACTGCTCTATCACCTTAAGAAACCAGGAGAGAATCATAAAACATATGCTGCCAAAACCTCTTACTTTCCGATAGAAGACTGACCGGTGGTAAAACTTGGAGCCTCTGCAATAGTATATTATATATGATAATGATCTGATGCTAATAAAAATTGCACTCACTTTCCTCCTCTTCCTAGGTGACAGACCTTTGTTTCGGAATGTACTTCATTTTTTCACACTTCTCAGGCTTCGTTCTGTACTTGCATATGCCAGCCCCAACAGTCCAATCCTCACTAGCCCCCGCCTTAACCGTACATTTCTCTGACGAGTCAACTTCAACCTCTGAGCACCCTGGAGGCTCAAGGTTTGAGGAGAGAACCACGGTCACGTGTTCACCTGCAATAGCCTTCTTCCATCCTACAAGGCCAATCAGAAGTTTATCAGAGACGATGAGTAAAAATGGACTCATATCAAATAAAGATATGCATATATATATCAAACATCCCAACTTACTCCCAGCAAGAAAGGCCTTGGCAGCATTGCTGTCAAACTGCAAGCTTCCTGGTTGCATCCTTTCCTCGAGTGTTGAAGAAAGAGTCATTCTTATTACATCATCACTATCATCTACTGCAGATGGCCTTAGACAGCTTTCACTGGACGAGATCTGGACTGCATTTTCAGCGATCACTTCTACCTCAATTTCTCTAATACTATTTTGGACTGGCAGTGAAGTTTTTCTTTCTTGTCGGCTCACTGGCCTCCAAAACTTAATGTTTGATCGGTTTGTAACACCCTGAATATGATCATGCTTGTTGAATCTCTCCTGGACATTGTTCCTCTTTGGTGTTTGACACTCCACGGGGTACCTGTCACAGGCTTCAGCTAGATTTTTTCCTATTGGGACAGATATAGAGCCAATTATAAGCTCTGGATTATTATTCAGATCTAGTTGATTTGCAGCTTGTTTCTCTACCCTAATTTTCAAACTCTCCCCATCATTTATTGCTTTAGATTTCCGGCTCCACATTTTATTACTATTACCCATAGCGGCAGTCCTTTCCCTGTTTGTTCCATTTTTATTCATCCCTCCGAGCTTAAATCCATGAGAATTATGATTAGCATGGAAACCATTAAGCACCACATGCTGTGATTTGGGTGGAGTCTGCCATCGAGCAACAATTATACGATGACATCCATCTACTGGCTCCACTAGTCTTTCGACATTCTGACTAGTTCCTGGCTCACAATATCCATTGTTAAACCCCATCTGAATTCTGTCATCAACACCCTCCTCAGGGTTAGGGAAAGGAATGGGTTCTAGGGATGGAAGAACTTGATCTGTTGATATGACTGCATTTTGTCCATCAATATCAAAAGCAGCCGAAGAGCTGGATGCTTCAGCCCAAGTATTAACCTCCAATGAATTATCCAAGTTCTGCTTACCTTCATCCGTCTCCCAGGGTTTTTGTTCCTTCGCTTTCTGTTCTTTCTGCCTAAGTTTTTTCTGTCTTTTTCTCTCAAGAAGCTCAACTTGCCTAGTGAAGAATCATGAAAAGAATAAGCTAATCCAAGGTTCTTCCATTTTTCTTTTTGCAAGATGTTGAACTATTTCAGAAGAATAATGTAATTAATCAATAACACTAAACTTAGGTGTTAGGAACTACCTGGTACCACTGTCAAACCTATCACATGATTAATTTTCCATATACAAGTTCTACACCTTCAAATTATAGTTACTCATTTCTGTTCAAGAAATGCAAAATTACTTTTACACCAGTATCTTCTTCCCTTTTTTTCACTCTTTAAATCAGTTGGGGAGAAAAGCTGTCTGCATCACATATTTTGGAAGTAATTTAGTAATTATACCACATGTTCAGGTTTGTTAACTCCTGGAAGAGAAGAAATTACTCAAAATACTTTTCCGATCTTTGTCCCCAGACATTACTCAGAGATGATTAAAAGAGAATCACTTATGGTTATGCTAAGAGGAACATTTTTAGAGAAAAGAGGGAATGAGAAGATTTACAAACGGTCAAACCTTTTCACGTGGGTCAAATATGAAAAATTACTTCGTTAGACAAGGGGAATAAGTAATATGCACCTCTTCTGGGCAGCTTCTTCCTCTTCCACTAGCAACTTCTGGCACCTCAAAGCTTCAGCATCCTTATCTGCAAGCCATGCTTTAACCTGAACAGAAAACAAAGGTTAATTTGATGTTGAAATGATGAAGGAGAAATTTAAAAAAGTAAACAGATTCACAAGCACCCCTATCCTGATATTGTACTGCTTGTACCAATGGTTAGGGATAGCATTATGCTTGCCAACCAAATTATTCATAACTAATAAGTGTGCATGAAAACTTCCGAGTAAATCAACCTTGATAGACAAGAAAAAAAAGTACCAATTTCTGTTCTACTAAGAAGCTGGTACAAGCAACCACGTTCTTGGTTTCAAGACCAATCTTTCCCGCTTCCCCATCAAAAATATATTTTTGCATTGATACTGCTGCACCACAAAGGAAAGTCCTCTCACTTGAATCATCAAGGATACTAAAAAATTCTCGGGAAGATATTGGAAACCTTGTGGGTCTAGCTTGGACAAGGTCCTGCAAAGATTTAGGGCATATGGCATCCATGGGATAAGAATGCATTAGCATGCTTTCAGATCCATAACAAATATGTTCCTTACCAGAAGAGCAGAACCTGCCCTCAAGCAAACTTGTGGCACAGCAAGAAGCCCTATTCTCTTTACAAGTGTTGTCAATGATTTTATAACTGAAGATCCTGGAACTTCCTAGAAGGTATAGTTAGCAAGGAAGAAATTGTTTAGGAGTCGAGGACAAACAAAACCAATAATCACGCAATAAGTGCATGTATATCCTAGCAAGAAACAATCATTTGGTTAGAAGATGATTCTGCAAAAGTAACAAATACAATATGTAAACCAAATGTGGATGTCGCTTGAATATTAATAAATGATGTACCAAAGATTCAGTAGGAGAAAAATACTAAACAATTACCTCCAATTCTACATCCGCAAGTGATATAACTTCCTTTGCCTCATCCTCTGAAAGCTGTATATGATATAAATAAGAAAGGAAAGAAACGAGTAAGGATGACTTAAAACGAATATGCAACAGAAAATGTAAAGAAAGAAGTACCTTGTCCCAAAATGCAGCTAGTAAGTCCCTATTTTTAACAGAATCCTACAATGTTAAATCAACATTGTTTAGCGGAGTCCTAAGAGATGTAAAAAGGAAAAAACATCAAAAGTAACCAAGGTAAATTTCAAATTTCCAAGAGGCTAGAATCTTAAAGAAGCATCAAACGAAGAAATTGCAGGAAAAAATCTCAAGTATCAACATAATAGACTAATTCTGTTTCAAAGACTGAGAAAACCTTATCAAGCTTTTTAAACCTATGATGCACACGTATATGCCTTCTGTAGTTAATAGGCGAACAAAATTCTCGCGAACACTTGTCACACTTTTGCATCTGCACCTTTAGGGTAGTGAGTAAAGGCCAGCCAGGAATTTCTGTCAGAGATATAGGCAAGAAAATCAAGTAGAGTAGCATCAGATATATAATATTTTCTAGCCAATGATTTGAACCAACAAACTAATTTTCAAGTACCTTGTTGATCCAAGGCATGCAGCAATTGAATCCATTGGACTGAGCTGTCTCCAGCCCTTGAAAATGGAAGGAGAGGCTCTTTTCCAACAGCTTGTCTGATGAAAGTGTCCAAAGAATCATTTGGCTCCTCTGATTTCATCACATCTGCAGAACTGGCAGCCTTGAGTTTTGCAACAGGCATTTATGCAAACAAACAACGCACAACCACTAACTCAAAGATACCACTGCAACTAAAAGGGAGTGAGAGAAGAAATTAAGATCCTGAAAAATCTACTTACATTCAATGACTTATTAGTGATGCATATATGACTGCTTCAAATATCTTCATATTGAAAAAACCCAATATATGCTATCAAACATTACCTAATTCCAACACACTCAATATGCATACAAGACATTCATGCCGCTGTGGTAAGCATAGTGACAAGTGCAATAATGTTATGCCCATGCTTAGCAATTCTACAATGATAATTAAATGCAAAGGTCTCATACAGAAAGATCCTAGTAAATTGAAAACATACAGAGAGTTCATCTATTTAATAAAACATTGAGGACTGAGGAATTGTCATTATCCAAATCTGAAACTACGCACTAGCCATCTAATACACGACTTATGCGACTAATATCAGCAAGAAAATATCTATAGCTAAAATACCAGTCATTCATAACAATGATTCATTAATGTAGCCTAGTTGTCCGCTAGCATTTTCACAGCAAAACAACTAAAAATGAACCTAAGAATTAATATTAAAATCCATTAGGTAGAAAATTTTAAAATTTTAATTTCAAGAAAAGATTAATCAAACCATAACTCAAAATGACAATCAAATATTTCAGAACAACATAGCTCAATAAACTGTCTACACTTGACAGAAATAACTTATCGAACCTTCATTTGTGCATTATCAGCAGAAAGAAGGACGCATTTTCTAAAACATTCCAATACCGAGCCACAATATAACTACTGAACTTAGTTTCGGATAATTTTCATTATTCACACGAGATAGAATTAAAACTCCGACTTTCCAGTTCCATTTTTTAGAGCTTGTAACAGCTAAAACTCCATAAAACCATAATAAATAATTAAAACAAATTAAACGAGTTAGGGCTCCGAGTCAAGTGTTCCGCGATAGAGGTTTGAATGTAGAAGAAGAAAAACACAAAATATATGATAAGTGAAGCGATCGATTAACTTACCGGCGAATGAGATCGGTTAGAGGAAAGACAGAATCTTGAGCGATCGCAAGGATTTAGAGGCGAGGAGCAGGGGATTGGGGAGTGTTTGGTGGAAGGGAAAATCACCGAAGGAAAATGATCGGGTGAGAAAATCGTTGCGGAAGAAAAAGAAAAGAGAGTTCCGGGGGAACGATTTGTAAGAGAAACGTATATATATAAAGCTGGAAAGGGTGAACCCTCTTTAACCTTCAATGAAAGAAAACGTACATGATGTTTGACGTGGGAGATATGGCATGCCTACGTGCTCTTCTCATTCCCTCAATCACTCCAATTCTAAAGCCCAACCCTTTCACCTCTTTCTTGAGCTTTGGGCCTCTTTCTTCAATTTCTATGTATTTTGCTTATGAATGAATGAGCGGATTCGGATCTAGACCCAACGACTTTGAATTTGATCAGAGTTTAATCTTTTTAAAAATTTAAAATTAAGTTTGAGAAAAGGATAGCCGAGTTTGAATTAAAATCAGTTTTAAGATTAAAATATATTTTCTAAAACTTTTACTTTTTCATTCTTTTATTCTCTTCCCTCCCATAAATTCACTCATATCTCATAAATCTGAAAATAAAAATCTGAAATCATCATTGACAACTGCATCAATCGTCACCGAACTGACTGTTATTCAACTCTACAATTTTTCAAAAATCTCTTTCAAGCCTCTTAATTTTGAATATGGTGCGTATTGTTTTAGAAAACACTTTGATGTTTATGAATAGTAGACTGGCTACCTGGAAGACTGCTTTGGAAGAAAAATGTTTAAAGATCAATATTAAAAAGACAGAGTATTTATGTTCAAATTTCAGTGGGAACCAAAACGATGAATATGTAGAAATATGCGTCGATGGACACGTTCTCCCCTCAAATGAATGTTTCAAGTACCTAGGGTCTATGTTACATAAAGATGGGGTGTAGAGGATGACGTTACACATCGTATAAAGGCGGGATGACTAAAGTGGAGGGTTGCTACTGGAGTTTTCTGTGACAAGAAGGTGCCTCTAAAACTTAAGGAAAAATTTTATAGAATGGCAATAAGACCAGCGTTGATGTATGGATCAGAATGTTGGGCAATCAAGAAGGATCACGTAAGGAGGATGGATGTCGCAGAAATGAGAATGCTTCATTGGACATGTGGTAAGACTCCGTGGGACATGACACCAAACTCTGCAATTAGGATGTCCTTGGGGGTGGTGTCTGTTTCCGAAAAATTGAGGGAGGGAAGACTACGGTGGTTTGGGCATGTCCTTAGGCGACAACCGTCGGATGCGGTCAGGAGGGTAGAGTACAGTCGAAGGTTCCAAAAGGAGAGGACGACCAAGGAGGAAGTGGGTAGACTGCTTTGGGATCTGATTTGAAGGATTTAGCACTTACCGAGGACATGACCTCTGACAGGAAAGTATGGAGACTTAAGACCATGGTAGCCGAGTAGTGTAGGTCACAGCCATGGGGTGTAGCATTTCTGTCTTCTTTTTAATGCCTCTGTAGTAATTTCCATGACTTCTACTTCTATACTTTTCTGTCATTGGAATCTATGAAGGCCCAGAACTAGAGTAACGGAGTAGTGTTGTCTTAGTTTAGGTGGTAACCCATTTGACTTTATTCCTTCTAGTAGCTTGCTATCGCTGACTACTATGTTTTCCTTCCCTTCATCTTTCCTCTTTTTAAATTTAGCCGAGACTTACATTTCTGTCTATATACAGAGATTATTACGCAGGGATTACTTCCCACTACAGACGCGCATATGAAGACTGTTCAACTATGTATTTATTTATTTATACATGCATTGTATTTTATCTTTATCTTTATTTTTAATTCCCTTGACTGTCGGAGGTCTTCCACGGAAGCTGCTCTCAACCTGACGTTGGGGGCAACCTACTACACTACCTCTCCCTTACCCAATTACATATGGGAATAGGGTTTTGTTGTTATTGTTGTTTGATGTTTATGAATCTAGTTTAAAATCATTCCCGTACACTGCTTTCGATCTCCTTCCGCTGTCTGCGTCAAATAAGACCAACATAAAACTATACTCCTTGTATTCATTGTTGGAATCATCGGAAATTATCATACCCAAAAGATGCATGTTTTCCATTTCATTTGTTATTTTGTGGTTTTGTTTCCCTTCTCTAGCTTATTTTAAGAAATAATCTTTAGAAAAAGGTCTTGTTTTTGGTTTAGTGAATCTAGAGTTTTTAAGGTTCGTGTTAGGTTGGAGTAGATTTTCACCCACGAGTTTAGGGTTAGTTTCGAGAGAGGTGAGACTCTTCTAAAAATATCAGGTCGGATTGAATTTTGAGTAGAGATGGGAAATCTCAAGTTGCGATCGAAACGACCGAAACTCGACCATGACCCACATTCTCCATAATCTTATTATAGTTAAATTATAAGGTAGCCTACCCGAAAGTCACTAATCTATTGACTTGATTCTATTTTGACCACTAAATAGAAAATTCTGTTAATTAGATTATTAATTTTTAATTCAGTTTTATTTAAGCCATCAGCGGTTAACTACTATTAACTGAAATTATTAACATGAGAATTAAATAATTTTTTATAATAACACATCTGATCCTCATAATTACATATTTTATCAATTCCACTCTGATTTTAATTAGAAATAATTGAATAAATTTCAGCGCAATACCATTGGACCATACTAAAAATTTGTTTCATAGTATTCAAAACTTATATTGAATTATTACTACAAAACAAAACAGCGCAGCAGCAGCAGCAGCAGCAAATTGATTTCAATTATTACTACAATATCATCGCATTGATAGCTCCTACTATCTATATATGAACTGACAGAGATCAGAGGAAGAATTAAATGCTTCTCAGCTGCAAAATTTATTTATTAGTGTCCATCAAAATACTGACCTCTTTGGAGGCTATGTTCTGAACCTCTGGCTGAGTTTCTCAACTCCTTCACGACAATCCTCTGCCGCTCGTTTTGCACCTTCTTTAACGGCCGAGCTGAATCCCGCTGTGCTCCGCTGCACCTCCTGTACTGATCCCCTTGCCTTTGACTCAGCCCCGTCTTTCAATTCTTCAGCCTTTGCACCTGCCTCGGAGCCCCACTTCTGCAACACCGAAATCAAATGCTGGATCCTCTGGACAATCTTATTGATGAATTCTCTAGATTTGCCTTTTACTTCACTAGCCAATATCCTAAACTTTCCCAACAAAGCCTCGAACCGTCTAATAGTTCCTTCAACTGTAACTGGCTTCTCCACATTTGCCCATGTATCTCCTGCAACGCTCTCTTCACGGAGGTCATTGTCTACGACCACTTTGATGCCGTGCCTCGTCCAGCGTTCTCTAGCTTCCTCCAGGGCTTTTGCCCGTTCTCTTGCTCTTTTTGCCTCATCCTCAGCCCAAGCCCTGAATTTATGAAGTTTTGTACCATATATTACATAACCAAATGAGAATAGAACAGGGACATATCTCTCAGAAAAATTAAACAGCAAATGACAAACAAAATAAAGACGAACAAGAGGTAAAAACAGAATCTCCAAATGATAGTGTCAACCCCAAAAGAAGAAAAGCCAAAGCTATTCATGAATTTTCTACCACAAAAAAAAAAGGAACACAGCAGAAACATTAATATGACCATCATAGAGAATCCAATTGTCTTTCTCATCCCTATAGCTTTACCTAATAGAATATCCAGTAAAAAAGGTGACAATTGATTGAGCAGATATGCATGAATCTATCTGAAGTCTGGTAAATGCAAAGAAATGAGAATTGAGCAAGGTTTCACCCAATTTATTTAGCCACAAAGATATAAGAGAAAATATTCTATCATGCTATCCATGTTCTTGAAATTACTATCCCATAAAATAAAGCATTTAATATACATATATTAAAAGTCATTTGTCCGTTCCCCTTTATTAAGTTATTGAAGTATCAATTTTGAAAGTTGAAACTACATAATAATCAAGCTCATCTCCTTACCTGGCCATTGATAAGGCTTTTCTTTCCACCTCCAACTCATGCTGTAACCTGACAATCTCCTGGGTTTCATCCTCTGTTTCTTTTCGTAGTTTGCTAATCCTTTCCTTCTCATATGATATCTCTACTTTGTCACTAATCATGCTTTCCAACTGCTCCTGCACTTCACGCCTTAACCGTGAAAGAACTTCCATTTCAGCATCAATAGCAGCACGGTCCTTCATTAAGGCAATATTCTCTTCCTCTCTCTCAGCTCTCAACCTTTCCAGTTCATGCTTTGCTTCTTCAGCCATTTTTTCCACAGCATCTATCTTTTCCCGTTCCATCAGAAGTTCTTTCTCAAAACTAGCATTAATATCTTTCTCAACTTCAGCTACTAAAGCATTGTGAGCAGATACTACATTTTCCGCCATTGATTCAGCTTCGATACGAGCAAGCTCCTCACTTACTACGTCAGAAGCTTCACCAGTTGCAATAGCAATGGCAGCTTGGGCTTTTGTCACAGGCTTATTTGGCTGGAACATTCTTGTACAACCTATCGGGATAATGACAATAACAAAGGCATATCAATCATCAAAATAAGATGAAACTTAGAGAAAGTAATTACCATTGAGATGACTTACCAAATGCAAGTGCTATTATTCCTTGTTCTCCAGTAGACAAGTCTGCCATGAGTGCAGGCCATGCATCTGGATTTATCTTATCAATGTCTATGAAACCAGAAAGTTGGTAGAGTATCTACATAACCACAATGGTAAAATTAATACCAAACATATCCACTAGTACATGTAAGAAGACGAAATGAACAAACAAATAAAGTCAAAATTAGCAACCTTTCTGTCAGCTTCTGGGAGCTGTATTTTCTCAAAGGCCATTTTCCAACATATAAGATCCTGACGTGATAGAGGGCTGGAGTAAAAAAAAGGAGAAAATAAGAGGCCAACCACAAAACAGTACACTTTTATCTATAAATAAAGCAATTAATGGTAATATAAATAAAAGTGCAGCAACTCCATTCATTATTTTAGGTTTAAGTCAGGGTAAGAACATACTCATTAACATTTTGCAAATAAGTTGTAATGAAAATGGGTTAAGACAACTTTGGGAAAATAATTAAGAATCATTATTAGATATTAAAAAATAAACCTGCAGATGGGCAATAATACCTTTCAGGAGATAAGAATCTTTCAGGAGATATTCAGGAAATTAACCAAGATAAAAAGATTATCAGTTTTGAAAAAGTTCAATGTGTGAACAGTAATACCTTTCAGGAGAGAAGTAAAATGGACCTAGATTGTTACTGAATAAATCTTGATTTGAAAGCTTGCTTGAGATAAGTCCAGCCTCTGCCAAGACTGAAATATGCAACTCAATTAGAAATAATGAATTATAACAAAAAAGAAAGTTACTCTACCAATATGACCAAGAATATGAAATCCTATTGTCAACCTTGAATCGATGAAAAATCAGGGTCTTCAGTTGTTATGTCATCAAATGCAAGTTCAGTAACATTCTCAATGTACATTGCAGGATAAACTTTTGATACAACATTCCTGCAAATAGCAAAAAGAATTAAATTTATGAGCATGAAGGTACCTATAACATGCTAATTTCCAAAAGGCCACGCACTTCCATACATAGGAAAAACAAGGAAAGCACCTATACCTCGAAAGAGCACTGCTTGCCGACACTAACCACCGAGCATACTCACGAAGTGTACAGAGATCACCAGGTAGTGCATCAGCCTCAATAACCTGGAAAAGACTGAGATATATGTCACAAGTTCTCATATTATCCAATACTCCAATAATTCTGCATATCAGTAAGAAAGAAATACCTTCAAAACTTGAAGGGCTGCAAGTGCTTGCCCCTGAACCTGATCAACAACTGCAGGGACTAGAACCTTCCCTGGGTGAACCTGTAGGTCTGAGGAAACTACAAACGGAGCAGGTATACCAGCTGGGGAGAAGTAACTCCTTGGAGTTGGTGGTTCAGAAACTCGTATGATATCTTTTATTTCATTATAATCTATGTTCCCTTGCTCAATTGTTAACAAATGAGCTGGCACAGGCGTTGTTTCAGATGACTTAGTATCATTTAACTCTTTCACTTCCGGAATTGAATTCTTTATTTCAACTAAGAACGGAGACAGTTTTTGGCTCTCGAGGTTTTCTTCAGTTAGAGATGATTCTATGGTTTCTATATTGTCTTCGGGTACAATCTGATGTTCTTCAATTGGTTCCGACTCTGAACTAATTGAGAAGCTCACAATCGAAGGATCAGTGACTAAACTGGAACTAGAAGAAAAATCCGAGATATAGGAATTATCTTTTCCTTCTGGTCCAAGTAATCCCTCATCAAAACCATTGTCTAGGTTTATTGGGTCAGACAAGTTAGTATCAACAATACTTTCCTGCACATTAATCAATTTGTCTTCAATCTTGGAAGTCACTTCAGGTGAATCTATATCAAGGTTGCTATCTGATTCATTAAGTCTTGATGCAACAAAAGAGCCAACGACAGTTTCAGTTTCAGGCAAATTAGATGATGTTGCAGTTGTGTCTGGGAAAACTGACTCCCCATCCAAAGATGAACCATTTTGCATGTCTCCTGGAACTGGAACAGTATTACTGACATTATTGTCATTGGATGTGGAACTGTCAATTAAGTATGTCCCATTGGCATTATCAATATAATTATCAGCAGAAGTGTCATTGAATTCTGAAGGTGCCGAAAGATCCTTGTGTATTCCTGTTTCAATTTCATTTTCTTCAGCCTTTTCACCTTCAGTATCAATTGAAACTTCCTGTTGAACTGTTAAGGGTTGCAACTGCTGCTTTGTCCCTGCAGTCAACAAATGGTACAGGCATTCAAAACCAGTTCACAGTGATAGTTATTTTGCGAATGCTTATGGAAGCTTTTTTTGCCCAAAAATCTGTTTGAAACACAAAAGCAATCCCAAACACCTCATTCTCAGCCAAAAATTCACGTTTGAAAAGTGATTATTGACTCAAATCAAGCTGGAAAAGCGGTGCTTTTGCATTGGAAAAACTCATTTGGAGAAGCATTCCCAAACGAATCCGATTAAAGACAGAATTGCGAAAAATTAAAAACATATACACAAATAGAAAACCATAGTAAAATAGAACCAAGTGCAACTGAAAGAGACCACTTACTCGAAGCACTCCGATTACTTAGGGACATTGCTGCAAAGGAAAGCCCTGCTACCAAAACAAGTCCAGCTGATCCAGCTCCCACAATTCCTAAAAGCAAACTACTTATGAATTGTCATTAGTCCACAACATGGAAACCGTCAATTATAATTTAAACCCATTTAAGGATAAGATACGAATCCTCACTCCAGGACCACTATCTGCCCAAAGCCTCAGACAATCATGAGAGTTATTTTCAAGATTATGCATGCGTCAAATTTTATCCCTAAATATCATCTGATTACTCTCTGCTTCATTGATACCGAATACCTTTGATTGAAAGTAAAGAATCATTTAGTGTAAGAAAAATAATTAAAAACTTAATCAGCTAACTATCTTCAGATAAACCCATCAAAGCGTTATGCTTGTACCAGCTGGTCACAAGTAAACAAAGAAAACCACTAAACAAATAGCCAAAATTCAGCTAAGACAAGTGGTAACAACATTAGTTTGTGCAAAAGTATAATAAATAAATACCTCCAAACCATTTGTTCCTTCCCGAGCCAATGGAATCTTCAACACTATCCGATACAACCACATTTAGTATTTTGCCTTTGATACCTATACTTCAAACAAGTTTAATATGGTATTTATACTTTTAAAATACTTAATACGATACATGTATTTTTATAAAATATCTAATATTGTATTTTTACTTTTGAAAGATTTAATATGATATGTGCGCTTTGACAAAAATGTTCAATATTGTATTTGAATTATCAGTCTTGTATTATTATAATACCCGTGGATTTGTACTTGATGGCTAATAATAATTTTAACACAAATATCATAATAATGCATGAAATGATAATTCAAGTATAACATTAGTAATGGTGTTAATTAAGTATCATAATAATATATAGAATGATAGTTCAGAAACTATATTAGTCATTATGATAAAATATAAGTATTTCATTGAATATTTTAAATATATATATATATTATATATTATACTAGATATTTTATCAAATTGCATGTGTCATATTAAATTTCTTTATCAAATGTTAATTATCATGTTAGACATTTTAAAAATACACCGTGTACCTTATTAAATATTATGTTACAGTGTATGGGGCAGATGTGATATTATCCCAAACGATTTATATTTTCATCCTTAAAATGTTGAAAGGTAATTGTACAAAATTTTACAAATTTTATTCTGTCACGTTTTCAATACCTAAAATTTGTCATAGTTTTGGTTTTTACAATATAACTAATAATATTTTTGTTTTAAAATTATTGAATATAATATAAATAAACAATATACTAATATTTTTAGAGAAATTTGCAGATAAAATTAGAATTAAATGAATATATAATTTTCTTTTACTTTTCAAATCAAATTTTAAAAGTCAATGTAATACGAATGTTGGTTAGTGTTTGGATTTAAAATATTTATATACTTAATAATCTTAAACTTAAATTCATTCAATGATAAAAATGTTGGAGATAATTAATATATTTTTGGTAGTTTTTAAATTTAATCATTTTATCTATTTATAAATATTGATATTATATTAGAAAATCATGTAAATATTTATATACTTAATAATCTTAAACTTAAATTCATTCAATGATAAAAATGTTGGAGATAATTAATATATTTTTGGTAGTTTTTAAATTTAATCATTTTATCTATTTATAAATATTGATATTATATTAGAAAATCATGTAAAAATATAAGGCTCAAAATAGAACCTATATTTATTGTAGTATTATTATATATTTTCCATACTTTTTAATTTAACCATTTTATCTATTTACAAATATTGGTAGCATGTTAAAAATTAAGTTTATTGTTTTTTAGGACAAACTATTTATATGACCATTTAATTATTGTCTATTTTCATTTTAACCGTCAATTTTGATATTTTGTCAACCAGACGACTTAGTTATTTAAGTGTGTCAATGTAACTCTCCAAATTATGAGTTAGTAGTTTCGGGTTTACCCAAAAAATAAGTGGACCTCGTAGAATTTATAATTCAATTCGTTGGGCTTAATTAGATTGAAATTGGGTCCAATTAGTCTTTAGATGATATTTTTTAATGGTAGAAAGATGAGAAAGGACCAAAAGCACAATTACCCCATTTTAGTTGATGAGAGCTTTTATATCTCTCATTTCATCTTTATCATTTCATTTCTATTTCTTTCATTTCTCTCCAAGCTCCATAAACCAAGGGTAAGTCTTTTAAGCCATTTCTTATCTCTTTCAAGCTTTATTTTCGTTCATAATCCATCCAACAACATGGATTTAACAATTCAAGCCATGGGTTCTTTGTTAGCAAGAGAAAGTTGAGAGTTTTCACCCAAATCACAATAGAAAAAGGTGTAGCTAAGCAAGGAGCTTCATTTCGGGATACTAGCATCAAGGTAGTGTATTTATAAAATTTTGGAGTGTTAAGGCTTCCAAAGGCATAATAAATTGTTTAGATTTTGGTAGTTGAGCATTTTAGGGTTTCACATTGATTCATGTCATAAATGACGAAATTGTTGTTAAGTATGTGTTTTTAATAACTTTCACTGCAGCACATGTGCTATAGACCGACTTAAATCTCGATCGAGGTCGATTGGGTTTCATTATGGTTACACTTTAAGACCCTAAATAACTACCCACAATATCAATACATGAATTACAACCAAACTATGGCTTTAGAGTGATTTTTAGGTGTTTCCCGAGCCTAAGTATAACATCTATCGGTTTGAGTATCGATAATGGGATGAAAAGTATCGATACTGGATGAATTGGGGTAAAAATTAGAGATTTCAGGCAGGGAGTATCAATACTACTATGAGAGTATCGATAATGCCCCTTCGGTCTCGAGACTCAAAGTGTTGATCTCGAGATCAAGCTACAATTTTAGCAGCAGAATGCATTTTTGGTATCGATACTCATAGGGGTATCGATACTTGACCTTAAGGTATCGATACTACAAGTAGAGTATCGATACTACTCACCTTAGTTGATCCATTTCGACCTGGTTAAGATCCATAAGAGCTAAGGATGGTTCGTAATGGTAAAACATAGTCCGTGAAGGATGTAAATGGCCAAAGGAGCCTAGAGACACTCGTAGGAGTGAGTTACAACCAGCGTAACCATAGTATGCATAATGCATCTAATTATCTTCAGTTGAGTATGTAGAGGATGTCTAAAAATGAAGGATAATTGTAGAGAGTGTACCGACAAGCGGTACAACCCAGGAATCTAAATTATGAAACAAAATAAGCATGCACCGACAAAAGAGTGATAGACGCACAGCTGTCCCTTTAATTCAAAAATGAATTGAGGGAAAGTGTAGTGAGAACGAATAGAATGTCGCTACCCAGAAATAAACCCGAGTCAGTATCGGCCTAGCCAGTACTACATTTAGTAAACAATAAACACAATAGTCATTATGAAGCCATGAATGAGTAGAGACTTCTATAGTGTTAGAGTAGTGACTAAAATTCCCTTAATAAATGAACAACCAGATCAAGACAGATTATCAGTAGTAACAAACTAATAATTCCTCCCTTAACATTCTACATGAGAGAACGAGCAAGATAGCAACTAGGGAGACCAGTAAACGAGATTATTAATAACTTAGAATAGTTAGAAATAGTAACAAGTAAGATGTCATAAAACTAGCCTTTGTGTGTGACACTCGGGAAATAGTCAGGACACCCGAGTTACTTTAGTAATAGGACGATTGTCTTATTTGCTATGATGTCCATGTATATACCAGTCAGTGCTAAGGCACTTCTCTTACCAGTTGGGAGCAGATGCCCCAAGACTCGACGGAGTAAGTTGGCGGGGTGTATATTTCCGATGTAGATTTTGGATCTCACCTCAGAGTACCTTCGGGTATCTAGGCAGGCTAGAGGGGTGTGTGAGCTCCGAGATGTAGAACCCTCAGCTGCACCATGATGCCTGACACAACTTGTTTGTATTTGTTATTGTGTGTTAGTGTATGTGGTAAGCTAGAAGGATGTTCTCTCTAAGACACAACCCCTTAAACATATCATGATGCCAACCCCAACTAGTATATGACGCACAATAGGTCCAATGTTGTATTCAGATAGCACACTATATGTTTAGTGTTACATTCAAATAATGCGTAGTAGGTACAGTGTTACATTTAGATGATGAATATTAGTCACAATCGGTAGGATTAGAGACCCTTTTAGAGGTGTATTCATGGTGAAGCCTTTAGCACTGTCACAATAGGACTTCCAGCATCTCTTTCAAAGTATTGTATTGTAGCTTAGTGGGCATATGTGTTCATAGAACCTTACTTATGTATTTAGATTTATGAGAAAGAGTTTCTATTATTTGATTTAAACTATGTGTCATGGAGTTTTAGTTTATAAAATGTTTTATAGTTGATATTTATGTTTATCATTAATACCATATGGTATGTTTTAAAAGAAAATAAATAGGTTTTGAAAATCAGGGGTTGCCTCGGTGGCTCAATATAAAACTTTAGGCTCATTTGGGATTTAGGGTATTATAGCCAATCAAGTATATTGAACCATGTTTTATAATATTTTGATATAACAAAATTAAGGAAAAATATTTTTGGAATTGATTGAATTTTTTCAAAGTTTTAAAAAATAATTCAAAGTCCATTAAACTAGAATTTTAGCATAAAACAATGTTTATGCGTACGTAGTACCGATACTGTTCTTATAGTATCATACTACATGAACAATACCGATATTGTTCATGTGGTACCGATACCAAAGGTAAGAGAAGTATCGATACTCTCTAGGTAGTATCGATACTACCAGTTGTTTTCCAAATTGCTCAAATTCCAAAATGCAAAATAGATATTGATACTCAAGGGGTATCGATACTACTTTACATAGTGGTATCGATACCATGAAGCATAGTATTGATATTGGTCAAGCTCAACGGTCTTTAATGGCTAGTTTATTTAAATATTAAAAAGGTAATATCGATACTCGGTAAAAGAGTACCGATACTCCCTGTTCTGGGCAGTTTTTTTTGCAAAAAAATTAATCCCCAAACAACTCCAAAACATCCCAACGGCTAGAAACAGCCACAAACTCATTCCAACATATAAAAACAAGTTAAAGACACTTGAAGAAAGTGGAAAACACCTATCCAAGCAAAAGAGATCAAGAGAAAAGCTCTTTCATTCTTTATATTTCCTTTTCTCTTATACATAAGTGTGTTTGAGGTCATTACAAATCTTTTTAATTATTTTGTTGTGAGCTTAAATCTTGTAAACACCCTACTTTTAAGAGTTTTTCATATTTACTTCTTTTATCCTTTTGTAAAGGGGATTGGTTCTAGCTTAGCCTTTGAAAAGCTATGGAGTTGTAAAGGTTATCTCTTTGTCCTGTAAAAAGAAAGAACAAATTAGTGGATTTGTTACAAAATCCTTAGTGAGGAGCTTAGGTAGTGTATGTAGACTTGGTTGAGAAGTCGAACCACTATAAATCCTTATGCAAATTGTTTCATCTTTGTACTCTTTACTCCCTAAACTCAAAAAGTCAAATTCCCCCTCTTGGCAAATTATTCAGTTGAT